TTCAGGGATGCTAGTTCATGGTTTGGAACTCTTTTTTCTTTCATCAGGGAAAATCTGATATCTAATACAATAAACAACAATTATAAAACAAATAACATGAGGCTGATATGATTGAACTAGAAACACGAGGCATTTAGCTTCTCTTCACCTCTTCTTTAACCCCATCATTGGTCTCTGCCTTAGTCAGCTTGGCTGACCTAACAAAATACTGTGGACTAGATGGCTTAAACAACAATAACGTATTTTTTCATTGTTCTGGAGGCTGGAGTCCCACATCAAGCTTCAGGCTGATTGTTTCTGGTGAGGCTCTCTTTCTGGTTTGTAGATGGCCTCTTCTTGCTGTGTCCTCACATGGCTTTTCCTTGGTACATGGAAAGCTCTCTAGCATATCTTCTCTTAAGGAAGTCAGCCATATTGGATTAGAGACCCACCCTTACTACCACATTTGACCCTAATTATTTCTTTAGAGACCCCATCTCTAAACACAGTCATACTAGGGATTAGAGCTTCAACACGTGAATTTGGCAGGGGGCACACAGTCATTCAGTTCATAAAATTCTCTAACTCAAGTTCAGAGAAATGCAGGTTTTCAAGAAACATAGATTAGCAATGTTTTATGTTCTATGCTAAATTGTTTTTATGGTGTACAGTATAATTAAACAGGATGATTTTCCTAACTTTAGCTCACACTTAACTCAGCAAAGCGTCATACTATATTTTATTGAGATGCTTTTTTTCTCAATTTTGTAGCAAGTGAAGCACATCAAATGATGTCCTTGTTCTTTTTTCTACAACTGTACTGTTAATTTTCTCGGTGTTGTTTCCACTAATATTCTGTTTTGTGTTAATTATTTGGTCTTCTAGGCATTATGTAGTCTGAGTCTGAAAGTTGAAATAAATTACAATTAAGTTGGTATATCCATGTAAATATCCTTGACAACAATGCCCAGTGGATGACGGAATTAGTCTCCTGTTCTATAGCACCATGGAGACAACCCCGCTGACATTCAATGGACGATGATCAAATCCATTCTCCTTTATTACTCTCCCCCAAGTTCTTAAAATTATGACCCATTTTAACTTCCTTCATGTTTTTACCATGCTTTTTTCTTTTCTTGGTTCTTTCTAGAGTTTCTAAGTGCTTTTATTTTGATTTGTTTTTCTTGTTGGAAACATGTGTTTTCTTTGTTATGTCTCCAATATCATCTGTCTTTTTGCTCACTCTATTGCCTAAAATCCAGTCCATTTTTCCTCTAGAAGTTTACTGGCTTCCTATTCTAATTTGAAGGAGTAATTTGATATATAGACCATAATTGCTTATGCAGATGTTTGTTTTACCTGCAGTTCATGATTGATTTCTTTCATTTTCTTTCAGGTTTTGATAATATCATTAATTTTATCTTTACTTTCTGTCATGTAACCTACTCTTTATCTGGACTTAATCTCAAATCTCCAGTCCTTTTGCCTGGAGACCTTTGTTCTAAAGTCCACGTGCTTCTAATTTAGCTGAACTGGTGGCTTTCTGATTTCAGAAGCAATCACCCTAGGTCAATAATTCGAAATTCTCTTACGTTAGTGAATTCATTGTTTTTGTGCCCTGATGATGCCTTTTTTTTTTTTTTTTTTGAGATGAAGTCTCGCTCTGTCACCAGGCTGGAGTGCAGTGGCACAATCTCGGCTCATTGCATGATGTTGCCTTTCTTTTTGATATTTCCCCCTTATTTTGCTCAGCATATTGTATCTGTTAGAGTTCAATCGGAGAAGCATAATCACCATAGAAGAAAGAACATTGTTGGAATCAGAACATATACAATTGTGGGAGCTGGCAAAGAAGTCTACAGAAGGCTGTTGTCACTGTATCTGGCAGTGGATTTGAAGTTGCTATAGATAGTCAAGGCTGGTAGTTCAGAAAAAAAGTTAGACATGGAATAGGAGACACAGCAAGGACAAACTGGAATCCATAAGGAAAAACTGGGAAGTGTCTGAATCTTACCTCCTCCAGTCTTGATGATATGAGTGTCCTGTGTTAGGAAGAGCTAGCTACTCTCTACCTGGGAGCAACAACTAAACCTGAAGCTCTAGCAGGATCTGAAAAAGCTGTAGGTCTGGCTGCTCCCACATGCCTAGCAGGTCAGTAACAATATATGTGAGCTACATGGGGACCTGGTACCCTACACTGACCTTTAGAGATTATAGCCATTCTTTCATGTCTACCATCCATTCTTGTGCAGTTTCTCTTTTGGCTCACCCTAATGCAGAAATACATAGAAAATAGAATTATGGAAGACCTAGTTTTAGTTTAACTAAATTGACATTGTACAAAGCTGTCACAGTCTGCCCCTTGTCAACCTGATATTCATATAAAAGCCTTTCAACTTCCAAATAAAGACATAGTGAAATCATGTTTCTGCCTAATAACTGAACAGATACTAACTAACCATCTCACCACAAGAGAACACAAAGTCCTTTTGGCTGTCTTTGGCTGATGCTCTTTTCTAGCTGAGACATACTTACTCCTGGATATCCTGGAGCTTAAATACTGAAATATCAAGTTAATTACTATTAAACATTTTATAATAGTATGGAAATAGGGGATGGAAATTTAAAATATCAGTTAATGTAGACACAAATATGTTCATGTCTCAATAATAAATATTTATATTTATTATTGTATTTATTATTATGATTATTATTATTATTTTTTGAGATGGAGTCTCGCTCTGTCACCAGGCTGGAGTGCAGTGGCACAATCTCGGCTTATTGCATGATGTTGCTTTTCTTTTTGATATTTCCCCCTTATTTTGCTGAAGCATATTGTATCTGTATTTAATATTGATACAATATGTATCTGTAAATAATATTGTATGTTTATTATTTATAATAATGAATACCACCATAGTTCTCATTTCTACAACATATCATGCTGTCATTGCATACTTGGAAATGATATTGTAATCTTCCTTACCAGAACATATGCTCTGTGAAAGGAGGGACTGGTTCTCAATTACTTACTCCTCTATCTCTAGTTCTGAGCACAGTGACAAACACAGAGCAGACATTAAATTAGTATTTAATTAGCATTCAATAAATGCAGACTAGTGTGTGTATCTGTGTTTGCATGTGTGTGTATGTACATGTGCATGCATGCACACACACACACCAAGATGACCCTGGGTGTTTTAATAAGAACATCTTCCAAGCTGAATGCTTTCTGAGGAAATTTACCTGTAATACAGATATCATTTCACATATTATTCCCCTTCATTTGCACTAACAAATGTCTCCTCTTGCTCTTTTGTGCTAGTTCAGTCTCCAGCTACATCCACTTGGAGTTTCACTGTTCAAGGGTTTCATTACCACTTTGATGTGAATCTACTTAATAAACATTTTCTTTCTTTTGTTCCTTAGAGCTATCCTGTGAGGCACCCAGAACAGCTATTATTACTATTTTAATTTACAAATAAGGAAAGTGAGATTCAGAAAAAATGTAATGCATTGTGATGTCAGTGGTAGTTAAGAACTCGAATTTGCAGCTTGTTCTCTTAGTCCAGTACTCCTACTATTAAGACATGCTGGTATTTAAAACTGTAAAGTGGTTAGTAATGGACTGAACTTGAATAATACACGAATGGAAACATCAAATGAATTTCTTCTTAGAGCTATAGTTTTGAAACCGCATAATACTGCTCAAGCGACAAATTAAATGTAGGGCTTTCTGCTTTAGTTCAGTCTTACGGATTATGATTAGAGGCATCAAAAATTACCAGTATTACTGAAAGAATTTCTTGACTTTAGACATAACCTGTTTTAGTATTGTAAACTATTTTTGATATTTGATCTTTATTGTATAAAATTTGACTCTGTATTTCTGGCCCCTAGATCACTTAATGGTCTCTGGGTGTGTGCCTCAGGGCCCCTCCCTCAAATCTCTGTGGTTTAGAAAACCAAAAGTGGCATCTCATTTTCTCTACTTAAAGACCTTCTTCATCATTTTGAAATTCTGATGACATTTATTGGGTACAACCATGAAAAGGAGAATGGCCATATGCTTTTAGTTTGCCAAGGTATTACCCAAAGCAGGTGTTCAGTATGCAAAGAGATACTTTTAAAGTGCCAACATAGTCATTTTTAATTAGTGGACATTCTTTGTCAGGAAAGTAAAGTTTCACATTTCTTTGGGTGTGAAGTTGCATATTAATATGTTTTAGTTTCTTCTGAAAAACAAAAAAAATCCATTTTAGGAATAAAACTTAGGAATAACTTAAGCTTCAATTTCTGATACTCAGATTATTGTTTGGGAACAAGTCATCATTGTATTAAATCTGTTTCTCATCACAAAGGGAGTATCTATTACCTGAATAAATACTTTTAAGGTATTTTTGCATATAATGTAAGTCATGCCCTTACCATGAGCCAGGGTACCACACATTAACAGATTATTCAGAGGAGCTCAGAAACAGCAATGATTAAGAAATTTTAAGTAGATTTGTAGCACAGTAATGGGTTTTTAATCCTTTAATTTTACTTACCATCTCTACAAAGAAGTTTTGAGATTGACTTTGACTTCACGTATTTTCATATTTTCAAAATTACAGAAATGGATCTTTTTTGCGAGTCGAACATCCAGAATTAAAGTGAGCAGCTCATGAAACAGGCAAAGAAAACACAGTGAATCAATCAACTTAGTATTAAATCTTGTGGGTAAAAAGCCAGTACTAAGCAAGTGGCCACCAGGAATTTGATTGTTCCCACTCATAATGGAATTTGGAAAGGGCTACTAATCACATAGTTTTGCCTTCCCTGAGCTCCAGAATATTGATTGTAACAGTCAGGTAACTTTATCCTCTGTAACCACCATAGCTCATGCTAATTTAGTTAGTCTTCATCTTCTCTGTGGTTTGATCTTTCTTGTCTCAGTAAAATTATTCCATTCTGTGTTCTCTCACATGAGTCATTTCCATTTCTAAAATCAATATCTCTCAATGGTATTTTGCTTCCAGAAAGATGGAATAGATATATTCCTGCTAAATCCAACTGAAAACCTTGAAAATTATATGTAAAACAAACCCAAGAAGACCTGAAAAGTGTAAAGAAGAAGGAAAACTAGCTAAGGAACTGGAGGACCAAAGAATGGCATGGTGGTAAGTTTTCTATGTTTTGTTTTTGCCTCATATGTTTCCGACGTGGAGATACAGAAGCTGGAAAAATCCCAGAAATGCCAGAGGATGCAAAAACAAAAATCCTTAACAAAAGCCTACTGGCTCTAGCCAAAGTTTCAGGAAAGGCACATACTAGCAAGAAAGAAAGCTTCTATATAATAACTCTTCCACCCTGACCAAATACCACAGAAAAAAATCTGTAGCCCAGTCCCACCTTAGCTAGCAAAAGCTAAATGACAAGCATAAAGTTTCATTCTTTTCAGACTATAAAGAGGGGTCTCAAACTCTCTCCAGGGTGAGGTCAGAGAAGACTGCGTAGGAAGTTGTAACTTTGTTCTCTGCTAAGGGTAATGAGTCACACTTGTGGCTTCTATTGTGTCAGTGAATACACCTGAGGAGTTTTGCTTTTCACCACCACCTAGTAATGAAGAAGAATGCCTCTACCGCTTTCTGGTGGTGTTAGAAAAGGCCTAGAAGAGAGTCTGGACTTTCATCATTGCCCAGTTTCCCCTCCCTGTGGTGTCAGTGGAGTTCACACGGGGAGCAGTAATAGAAGCATGCCAGTATGATATCAGCAAACCTGTAGTGGGGGCATGAAAATCCCTCACTTGTCCAATAGTAACAAGGAGCTTTTCTCCCCTTTGACTATTAATAAAGGGTAAGTAGGGAACTTGAAATTTTATCTTCACTTCCCTTCTGTCCCTGTAGAGGAAACCAGCTGAGCAGATTTACATAGGATCCGGTCTCATAGTTCTAAAGGGTTCAGGTTTTGAGAGAACATCACATGTCACAAAATGGCCAGGAATATTTCTAACTGAATGAAGAAAGACAATCAAGATATGTCAACACCAATACAATGTAGATACTAGAATTATGTGACAAATCATTTAAAAAATGCTTCTGCAAGTAATTACAAATAAACTGGAAATAAAAGAGAAAAGTTTTAGTGAAGAAATAGGAGATAAAATAAGAGTGAAATGGGAATTTTAAAACTAAAAAATACACTAACCAAAATAGAAAACTCAGTGGATTAGCTCAGCAGCAGAATAATGAGGACAGAAGGATGAGTAAGTAAACAGGGTTAGAGTTCCAGAAGGAAAGAACAAAGAAGGTAGGGCTAAAAAAATACACAAACAAATGACCAAAGCTTCCCAAATTTAGCAAAATACATAAACCTACAGATTCAAGAAGCTTAGAAAAACCCAGACAATATAAACCCAAAAAAGTCTGCATGAAGATATATCATACTCAAACTTGTAAAAACTAAAGGCAAATACAAATGATGGAAGCAACTAGGGAGAAATGACATTTTGGCTATAGGAGTAAAACAGTTTGAATGATATTAACTTTTCAGTCAGAAATCAGTACTTCAGCATTTTTTAAGTGCTAAAAGAAAATAACTGTCAGTTCAAAATTCTAAATACCATTTACATTTCAATTAAGAATCAAAGCTAAATGACATTCTCTGATGAAGGAAAGCTAAGAGAATTTATCACTGGCAGACATATTCTACAAGAATGACTAAAGGAAATTATCTTTGTTAGTTAGCATAGGCTATTAATATACCATGGTCTGGATGGCTTAAACAACAGACATATTTTGTCACTATTCTGGAGGCTAGAGGTCTTGGAAAAACACACCAGCCTGGTTGGTTCTGGTGAGGTTTCTCTTTCCTTCTTGTAGACAGTTGCCATATTGTTGTGTGCTCAGATGATCTGTGTGTGTGTGTGTGTGTGTGTGTGTGTGCGCGCATGCATACACAAAAAGAGAAAGAGACAGAGGGCGGGAGAGGCAGAGAGACAGTTTTCTAATCTGTCTTCTTATAAGCACACTAATCCTATTGTATGAGTGCCCTACCTTTGTAACTTTATTTAACCTTAATTACCTCCTTATAGTTCTGTCTTCAAATACAGTCACATTGGTGGTTAGGAAACTCAGTTGAGGTTGAGATCCTCAGTTAGGATCTCAATATATAAATTTTGAGGGGACATAATTCAGTGAGAATTCACTTCAAAATTGGGTCAGAATTTATCATTGACTAAACAGAAACAAAATGATAAAAAAGGAATTTTGAAATATCAGAAAGAAACAACAAGAAACAGCAAAAATATGGATAAGCAAGAGACTTACTCATATTTTCTTCTCTTCTTGGGTTTTCTAAGCCATGATTGACAGTTGAGGCGAAAATTATGACACTGTCTGATGTGATTCTAATTGCTTAGAATATATTAAAGACAGTTATTTTATAAATGAAAGAGGAAAAAAAGATGTGAAGAGAGAAAAGCTTTAAAGCTTCACTTTAACTGGTAAAATGTAAACATCAGTAGACCATAATAAATTTTGTACATATAATATAATTATATATATATTATAATATATATGTACATATAATGTAATTATATATACAACTTGTATATAATTTTTATATAATATAAATTATAATTATGTAATATACATTATATATAATTATATAATATACATTATATATAATTATATAATATAATGTCTTGAGGAATCACTGCAAATGCTATAACAAGAGATATATAAAAATTATTGTACATACATCAAAATGAAATTCTAAAAATATTGTCACATTGCTCATAATAAGGCAGGAAAAAAGAAAACAGGAACCAGGACAAAGAGAAAAGAGAAGGAGCAAAATAAGACTTAGATGGTAGACTTAAATGCCAACATGTTAATAATTACATTAAAAGTAAATAGTCTAAATACGCACATTAAAAGGCAAAGATTTATAGGGTGGATTAAAAATATGTGACTGAGCTATATGCTATAAAAACTCACTTCAAATATAATATAGATAAATTAAAAATAAAAGGATGGAAAAGATATGCCATGCAAATATTATTTTAAAAAGGCAGGAGTGGCTAGATTATTGTAAAATTAAGGAGACTTCAGAACAAAGAAAATTACCAGAGACAAAGAAGTACATTACATAATGATAAAAGGTATACAAGTCAAACAATAGAAGTACAAGATATGTGAAACAAAAGCTGGTATAATTAAAAAGATGGGAGAAAAAGACAAAGACCATAGTTTTGTTGGAGATTTCAGCACCTTTCTATCAACAATTGATAGACTATTTAGACAGAAAAATTAGCAAAGATGTAGAAGAACTTAACAGCAATAGCTGTAAGTATCTAATCAACATTTAAGGAACATTTTACTCTTTAAAGAGCAAAATAAACATTTCTTCTAAGTACCCATGGAAAATATACCAAGATAGATCATATCTTGGGCTATAAAGCAGACCTAGACAAATTTTTTGAAAATTGAAATCATACAAGGAGTGTTCTATAATCACAATAGAATCAAACTGGAAACCAGTATCAGAAAGTTAATAGGAAGATCTCCAAACACTTTGAAATGAAATAATGCATTTCTTTTTTTTTTTTTGAGACGGAGTCTCGCTCTGTCGCCCAGGTGTGCAATGGCGTGATCTCGGCTCACTGCAAGCTCCACCTCCCAGGTTCACACCACTCTCCTGCCTCAGCCTCCCTAGTAACTGGGACTGCAGGCGCCTACATAATCCCTGGGTTAAAGAGGAAGTTTCAAGGAAAATAAAAAGGACATTCAATGAATTATAAATGAATATGTAAACATATAAAGTTTTTCAGGACACAGCAAAATTAGTTCCAAGAGGGTTTTTTTTTTTTTTTTTCCTTTTTTTTTTTTAAGACCATGTCACTCTTTCACCCAGACTGGAGTGCAGTGGCATGATCACAGCTCACTGCAACCTCACTGCTCAGGTCTCAAGGGTTCCTCCTGCCTCAGTCCCTCAAGAAACTTGGACTAGAGCTGCATTCCACCATGTGCAGCTAATGAAAAAGTATTTTGTAGAGACAGGGTGTCACTGTAGTGTCTAGGTTGGTCTCAAATTTCTGGCCTCAAGTGATCCTCCCATTTTGGTCTCCTAACATGCTAGGTTTACAGGCATAAGCCAACACACCCGACCCCAAAAGGAAATTTCTAGTACTAAATATATACATTAGAAAATAAGTTCCAAATTAATCATCTAATCTCTGACTTCAAGAATCTAAGAACAAAATAAATCCAAAGCGAGCAGAAGGAAGAAAATATTAAAGATAATAGTTTAAATCAATGAATTTGAAAACAGAAAAGCAATAAAAAATCAAAATAAGCAAAGAACTAGCTCCTTGAAAAATAAGTAAAATTTAAAAAGCATCAAAATTGACTGAAAAAGAGGTCACAAGTTGCCAATATTGGGAGTGATACTGCTACAGCCATTACAGAGCTCAAAAGGATAATAAGAAAATACTGTCAACTCCCCAAACATGTTTGTTAACTTTGATAAAATTTGGCTAGTTTTTCAAAAAGCACAAAATGTGACAACTCACCCAATATGTAGTAATTTGAATAGCCCTATACTTGTTAATAAAATTAAATTATAGCTAAGTCAAATTTGAAAAACTACTAAAAAGAAATCTCCAGGCACAGATGGTTACCTATATAATTGTACTAAATCTTTAAATAGCTAACACCAATTTTATGTAATCTCTTCCAGAAAAAATAAGTATACAGTTCCCAATTCTTTTTATGATGTTTATATTACCCTGACACCAAAAACTAAGAAAGAAATAAAACAGAAAATTACCGATCAATGTCTCTCAGAAATATAGGCGTGTAATAAACTTTATTAAAATATTATTAAATAGAATTCAGTAATGTAGAAAAAATATACATCATGATCACATGGGATTTATTCCAGTGATTTGAGGCTACTTCAATATTTGACAGCCAATGTAATCCACTGTGTTAACACTCACAAGGAGAAAAAATCACAAGTTCATGTTCATTAATACAGCCAAAGCATTTGATAAAATGCAACACCCACTGATAATAACTTTCAGAAATATAACAATAGAGGGACTCTACCCTTGCTAAATAATATCTACAAATAGCTTATATATAACATCATACTTAATGGTAAAATACTATATTTTTTACATCTAAGATTAGAAACTGACAAGGATGTTCACTTTCACCACCAGTATCCCACATAGTGCTGGAAAATCTAGCTGATACAGTAAAATGAGCAAAGCAAATAATAGGCATGCAGACAGGAAAAGAAGAAATAAAATGGTTCTTATTTGCAAATTACATGATGGTCTATATGGAAAATCCCAAGTGATCTTCCGCTGCCCCATAAAAGAGACCAAAAACTCATAGAACTAATAAATGAGTTCAAAGTCACAGAATTTAAAAAGACGGAAATCAATTATATTTCTGCATATTAGCA